GTGAGTTGTTTTAATGCTATTTAAGGGATATTTGTCTTCAATTCATTAAGCTAGAGGTGGCAAGTTCTCCTTTACTTAAGTGATGAATAATCTCTTTAGTTCATGACTTAGAACCTTAAAACTTCCACTTATTACAAGTGGCATAAGCTTAGTAAGCCATCAAACACCTTAAAACTTCCACTTATTACAAGTGGCATAAGCTTAGTAAGCCATCAAACTCTCCCCACCTCTTCATTTTATTTCGACCGTCATTTATATAGCAAGTAATGGGAGCATTTTAGCACCTTAAATGTTCCTTAAATAATACTTAGTAAAGAGAGCTTCTTTAGTGAGAGTTGGTGAGAGTTTCCTTAGTAAGTACCGCACACAAGAAGCTTAGCCGCAAGCATCACTCGAGAGTCACCGCGCGCACTGGAGTTCACGGAGGACTGCTAACACTCGAGCTATTTAGAAGGTAATCTTTGTATAGATATGATCTTGATGTTAGTTTACTCCTTTTCAGTTCAAAGCTTAGGCTTAAAGTTCGAGAATTGTCTTTAAGTTGCTCCCGGCCGTGCGTATTAGATTGAGTCGATCATGTTCATGTTTTGATCCGAATCTCTCGAGCAATCTCCATGTATTTAGTCATTTTATATCAATTCATGTTCAGATAAGTTAACTTAGTCGAGGGATTGTCATGTTTAAGCGTTAAATTGGCCAAAGGGCGTGGTCGCGCACGTAGCGCGTACCACGGGCCGTGCATGCTTAGCGATCATGTTAAGTAGTAGTCCTTCGAGCAATTCATGTCAATTTGTCCAGTAAATATTATTTCTTGATCAGTTATGTGTTAGTTGCCAAAAGAAAATCACGTTTGGTCGAGAAGCGGCTTAACGCCGTAGGCGGCGCACGGTGCGCACACCGCCGGCCACTTTAGCATATTGTGCAAAATTCATGATTCCGAATATTTTCAACAAATTTAATCATGTCAAGTCAGTTCATGCTATTTCATGTTAAAGTGGTCGAGAGGAATCGCCGGACGGCCAGTAAGGGCCGGTCGTAGTCGCGCTGTCCGCAAGCAGCGGCAGCAGCGCACCGACAGTCAGCCAGCGCGGACAGGCAGCGTGTGCGCATGCTCGCGAGGCGTCGCGCATAGCCT